CCTTTTTTTTTTTTTTTTTTTTTTTTTTTTTGTAGTTGTATGTTATATATGTAGACATCCTTTTGCATGGAAAAGACAGAACTGATGAAATGAAATGAAAACTGAGTTTGCAGGCTTCCACCGCCCTTCTCTCCTCTCCTTCTTCCTTCCCTGGTTTCTTCTTCTCCACCTTCTGCTGTGTTTATGTTTATGTAATCCTACATCAACTTGGTATCAAAGCTAAACCTGGATTCCATTATCAATCTGCATCCCATAACCCCTGCATCTCCCAAATACTTCATCTACACACAGTTTCTATTTACTCAACTCAGCTGCTACAACTCTCAGCATGTTCCAAGATTTCCAGCAGCCACCAACATACAAAATATCACTCTATATACAGCTGCCTTCTACCCGCCGTTCCGCTGTCACTGTCCAGCCATAAGCCAACTACCAACAACAGACACCACAACACCCACTCACAAAATCACCGCCCACAATTAATCGATCCATATAACCAGGCAACCAGTCACCACCACCATATAATCTCTCATAACCAATTAACCAATAATCTCAATACCAATCATGGTAAATTCGCGAACACCATCCTCCATAATACACAGTCATCTATCTACTATACACGCAACTCAGTTCTCACTCCATATACACGACCTGGCTTACCATAACAATCACCAAGCTGCAACCGTTGCTGTAGATCCATCCTTGCGCACCACACCCAAAAGCTTAGACACTTTCAAGTCCACCAGTCATCTACAAATCAGCACCAAATCAGCAAAGCCTCCTCACTCGAGACAACAACCAGAAATTGAACAAATCCACCCAAAATTACAGCAGCCAAAAATTGATCCATCGCCTTTCTGAACTCGAACCACTCGCGACCACCCAAAGCACCCACCCACGACCGCCGCCTCCACTCGTGACCACCATGGCACCGGTCACCATCACAGTGCTGGCGCCCACTCTGAGGAACTGGGATTTAATCCTCCCGATAACCCAAATTGCATATAATAGTTCTGTAAATCGATCTTTTGGCATAAGTCCTTTTGAAGTTGTTCATGGTTATAAACCTAGGAAGCCTTGAGACCTTATCCCTATGTCCCCACATGCTAATGTGTCTGTGTCAGTTGAGGCATTTGTATAACATCTTCATGACTTGCATATTGAGATCAATAAACAACTAGAGGCAAATAACATCACATAAACTTCGAGCTGATTTGCATAAACGACATGTTGAATTTAAAATTGGGGATTATATAATGATCCGAATTAGACCGGAACGGCGTCCATCTGGATCCGCTTCTAAATTGCAAGCCCGTAGCGCTGGTCCTTTTAAAATCTTAAAGCGTGTTGGTCCAAATGCATATGTCATTGATCTTCCGTCATATTTTGGCTACCACTCTACTTTCAATGTTGAGGATTTAGTTGCTCATAAAGGCCATTTTAAGCCCTCCGATGACTTTTTTCTACCCCCATTTGTTGACTTTCACCTTGAACCTATTGCTACCCCTATTTCAACATCTCCTGTCACAATACCCAAAGATAAGATTGATGCTATTTTAGATGAACATATTATATTGACTAATGATGGAGAAATTCAACGCTTTCTTGTTCGTTGGGTAGGACGACCTGACTCTGATTGTACATGGATCCCTAGAGAGACACTCCAACAACTTGATCCTGACTTGTTGGAACTTTATAGGAGTCAGCATGATCTTCCATTGCCCAGACCACCCATCACACGTGTATATGGACGTCGGAAGAGATTTGTCCAACCACTCAGCTTATGGTTGGACAACTGATTGCAGCTATTCACTCGACAGAGTCGAGTTTTCTCCCATCTCGGGAGAGTTGATGAGGACATCTACTCAACATTGGATTAGCTTAGTATTTTACATTGGGCTTGTAGTATATTTTGTAATTGGGCTAGTTAATTTTGCTTTGGGCTAGTATTACTGTTTTGGACTGCCTAAGCCCTTTTTCAAAACCTTTTTTTTTTTTTTTTTTTTTTTTTTTTTTGTATTTGTATGTTATATATGTAGACATCCTTTTGCATGGAAAAGACAGAACTAATGAAATGAAATGAAAACTGAGTTTGCAGGCTTCCACCGCCCTTCTCTTCTCTCCTTCTCTCCTTTCCTTCTTCCTTCCCTGGTTTCTTCTTCTCCCCCTTCTGTTGTGTTTATGTTTATGTAATCCTACATCAATATGGCTTCCATCCTTCTTTCTTCTCTTAAGACATTATCATTGTGCTTGTTATAAGTTTCTGTGATTTGAGATCATGTCTTTCTTTAATGAAATTAGATATACTGGTTTGGAAAAGAAGCTACATGTCTTAGGAAGTTAACATAATGTACTTCCTGGTTATATAGAACTATCTTGCTATAGCTGATTGTATTATAATATTGAACATTAGATATATATTGGGTAACATCATATTAAGAATGCTGGCTGCATTGAATATAATTTACAAAATCGATATTTGACATATTAAATGGTTATTTTTATTGAATGATAACTTTGTTATTTTGTGCTTTCCTCTCATTTTTTATTTTTTTATTTTTTCCACAATTTGATCTCTGCATAAGGAAATTTGTACTTATTGGTCGAGACTATCAGAATAAACTAGATTTGAGCTGGAAACTTATCCTCCCTGTTGATCGGCCACATAATTACTTTGAATGGTATTTTTGAAGTCACGCTAAATGGCTGTTCTCAGAATGCTTATGTCTTGTTCAGAAATGATGATGCATTGCAAGCAATAAAGTCCATCTTTTTGCTTCATTTTCATAATTTTATGTTGAGTATAGTGTAAAACCATTTAGTTGTTTAGTGGAATGTCCATACTCCATTGTTTATTTGTTTTCTCTAAATTGAAGTTTGAATCCCCCTGGTCTTTCTTTTATCACTTATTGTCATTCTTTTTTCCACTTAAGGTCCTTCACAACATTGTCATTGTGGAAAGCATTAGAGATGGCCGTTCAGATCCTAAGGGGCTTATTGAAATACTTGAAAATGTTAAGGTGCCATCATTTTTTCATTGCGTGTTACGTACGCAATAAGTTGTGTGCACATCTAAACATGTTTACCAATCCATTTTGAATGCCTTGGGGTGGGGGCAGTGTGTTTGTGTTGGGTGAAGGGGCGAGGGTTCTTCAACCAAAAATTTTATAATTTTTTCTAGTTATAAGCAATAAAAAAGCCTTTTCTGTTATGTGATGATGATCTTGACGTGTGCTCAGGACATCATGTGGCTCTTGGTTTGATGCTATTAATAGTGGATATAGAGGCATTTGAACTTTAGTTTTTCGACTTTCTATTGTTATATTTAATTTATTGTTCAATTTAGAAATTAAGTGAAAAGCTTGCTCGTTCATCTGGCGGAAATTTCGAGGCTTTTGGCTACAATGGAAGCAACACAACAGCTGGAACAGAAAGAAGTAATATGGCACATCAGTTTTCTAGTTCACCAGTTGCTTCCAGTGATGAGTTTGATACTTCTGTAACCACGTTCAACGTGGTATGTTCACTCGGTACTGGCATGAATTTTTCTATATTTAGATGTATAATATATTGCTAGATTTCTTGAGTGTATAAATCTGACCAATGTGTTGGCTTTCAGGCAGTTATATGGTTCCATCTGCATGAATATGCAAAATCATTTTCAATTTTAGATACATTGTATCAGCACATCGAACCAATTGATGAGGTAATACTGTGACATTAATTATATTATGGTGTGTGCTTATGGGAGTATGAATTAACCTTCAAATGGTTACATGCAGGGACTGCTCTTCCTATTTGCCTTTTGTTGCTGGATGTTGCATTACTTCCACATCATGCACCAAAATATGTCGTGAGTTCATTACTGTAGGACTTCACTTGTTTTCTTCATTGAGAATCTTGTGTTGAAAGAGGAAACTTGAAAGACAACTTAGTTATTAAGCTATTGTACATGTTGAAGGGAAGCGTTTCCTTGTCCGCAATCTTGCATCTCAATCTTGTGTGTCCCTTCAAACATATATAATTCGCTTCTTTTTGGAAGCCTACAGAATATGTAATGACAAAGGAAAATTAAACTCAAAATAAAATTCTCCTGTATTTGTCCTCTTCAATGGACGAACATTAGATAATTTGATACAGAATACTTCCTGAACTGGTAATAGTAAAACCTCTGGAATGTATCATGCATGTAAAATTTTATTTAAGGCATTGCTTTTGTTTCTTCTCTTGTCCAATGTTAAGAAAGATTGTTAGAAAAGTCAAGTTAATCAACCATTATGTTTAACAGGGCTCGAAGGAGTTTGGTTCTAGTTTCCAAAAATTGATAGGATCCTGTGGGTTTTGGGAATCTTCTTGGAGAAGCAATCTTCTATTTTTCCCCTATCTTCTATGTCTGGTTTCTGGATGAGGCACTGGGGTTGTGGGTGCTGAATGAATACCATACAAGCCTGTTTCTTGACAGTGGATTGCTCTATTATCTGAAGGTGTTGGCTGCTGGGAGATGCATATATGGGGAATACATTTAACTCCAGAATTATTCTTGTATCTTTCATTTCTGTTATAACAGTGCAACAGTCAATTCAGCATTACTACTTTTGATCCATTTATTTATGCTGCATGGCTGAGCTTACTTGGGAAGTTAATCAAGGGCTAAATTTAACTTTTTCTCAATGCGGTGAACTCTAATTTTATCTGCTTAGTGATGTAATGGATCATGACATATTGACATGCGAGATGTTGAATTCTCATGGTGCATTATATAGGAAAAAAGCACATTATGTTGTGGTAGTGCCTGGGATTTGTGCTTTCTAATATAGTTTTTAACTTGCATAAGAGTTCTCTACCGTCATCTCTGATGGATCATAAGTGGTTATCGAGTTGGAATACCATTTACTAGGATTTATATGGTTTTGTAGACCCTGTCAATCACTTGAACGGATAAAATCATGATGAGACAGTCCATTGTTTATTTATATTTATTCCTAGGTTCATGCATAAATATTTTGATATTCTGTTTATTATAGTTAGTTATTTCTCTTGAATTAACAATTGTCTTGAAGTTGTACGCCTCCTGTTGGTCATTTCTTGTGTTCAGGATGTGATTAGTCTTATGGAGAAGGTTTTCTGTGTAAATAGCTTGATCAATCCTGCCATTATTGGAAACTCAGTCCCAGTACAAAATGTTTCAAGATCTGCTTTACTTCCCAGCAATTCAACTATTCCCGATGCTTCTACTTCTGATTCAGTTGCTAATGAAAATACCTTGGAAATCTCTTTATCTAGAGCTTTATCGGAGGAAGCACTTGATGTTGAATCGTTACAGTTATCAACTTCTATTGACATCAGTGAGCAGAACCTTCAAAAACCAGGTGTGGTATGGCTTTCTGTAATGATCTTACATGGAGCCAAGCTGAGGAGTCCCATTCAACCATTGATCTAAGAATTAAGTTGCATTTTTACAAGCTTCGTTATTTGCTCCTCACCAGGAATCTCAGGTCAGCCAAGCGGGATAAGATGGCTATGAACATAGCTCGTGGGAAAGATTACCCCATGGCTCTCCATTTGAAGTCACAGCTTGAATATGCTGATGGGAATCATCTCAAAGCAATCAAGCTTTTGATGGCATCAAGTAATCAGACAGAAATTGGAATTTCAAGTATGTATTACAACAACCTCGATTGCATTTTTTACCGACTTGGGAAGCATCACACTTCAGGTTTATTCTTTTCTAAAGCATTAAGTAATAGTTCACTTGTGTGGAAGGAAAAACCCCTGAAACTTGCAACTATATCTCAAGATAAGTCTCTCCTGATAACATACAATTGCAGCTTACTTTACTTGGTTTGTGGGAAACCTTTCCCTGCTGTGTGCTGTTCCCAGAAGGCCAGTCTAGGTTTCAACAACAGACCTCTTTTATGGCTACAAATTGCTTAGTTCTGTCTAATGGCCCTAGAAAAGGGAAATTTAAATTCCAGTGTTTCTGCATCTGACCGATCTGATATCAAAGTTAAAGATTTTGGAAAGGGGAAATGGAGACAACTTGCAATTGAAGATGGAATTTCAACAAACGGCCAGTGGGAATATGTTGAAAAGGAAGAGTTGTTTCCGGGTGATGGTAAACAGCCTAATCTCTCAATTTCTCTTGCCTGACAGTGTCTTATCATTGCATTGTATTTATTGGACTGATCTATGTCAAGGTATTCTAAATCTGGTTTGCCTTATGGTTCTGAGGAAAGTGAATCAAGAGAGACAGTGTCATCTAAGAGTATAACTGGCTCAGGTCAGGTCAATGTAAATGGGGAAGGGAAAGAACAGAAGGGTGGAAAAATTTGAAACATTTGTAACACTTGTTTACATTACTCCACTTCGGACTGTGATGATATTTTCAGTAAAGAGAATCAGATGATGAAGCAAGAAGTCTTTGCTGATTTGGCAAATATAGAGCTGGCTCTGGGAAATCCTTCGGAAGCCCTGGCTGCAGCAAGATCTCTTTTCAGACTTCCTGGGTGCTCAATAATATACGTCTTTTTGGGAAATATGTATGCAGCTGAGGCTCTATGCCTGCTAAATCAGCCCAATGAAGCTGCTGAGCATTTGATAATCTATGTATGGTGGGAGCAATGTGGAGCTTCCATATCCTCAAGTGGATTGTGAAAAGGGGATAACGGAAAAAAATGGCAGGTTTTGAAGAGTCAAATGGTGGTTCAAATGAATCCAAAGGATTTGTGTTCCTCAGGCCTGAAGAGGCAGTTGGGGTTATTTGTACCAACGCCGCTGCCAACTACGCTGTGCTGGAGATCTTGAGAAGGCCCACCAATTTGCTATAAAAGCTTTATCAGCAGTACCCGATAATGCAAAAGCTATAATTGCTGCAATTTATGTGGATCTTAAGTTTGGGAAAACACAAGAAGCTCTTGCCAAGTTGAGACACTGTACTTGTGTTAGGTTCCTTCTTGGTAGTTCGACATGGAATGGCTCTTCTTGATTGTTTTTATTGATAACTTCTGCCCATGCCCCTCACTCCTAGTTAGCAGGTGGCTAGTCAATCCTTTGAAAGAGGGTTTTTAACTTGTATACATATGTATACTTCAATTCAGGATGAAGTTATTTGTTCATTTTCTTTTGGTTAAAACTTTTGCCTGTAGGGTTTTGTGACTTGTGGTGTGGGTTTGATATTTTGGTTACAATCCCCACTTTAAATTTTGGGTTGTAGTTTTGATAGAGACTTGTACTCTTTAAAGGGGGAAAAAGAATTTAGATTCTTATACATGTGAATGATTTGTCTTTTTTCAAATTTATTCCTTATTCTTGCAGTACTATCATCTGAAAACTTTTGATTGTTTTTCTTCAAACTAAGAGAGCATGCGTGGCTTATGGCGTTCTTTAGGATCTGTTAGATATTTTTCATCATTTTACATGTATTTATTTATTATTATTATTTTTTTTTGCGAATGATTTGCCACACCGACTAGTGTTTGCCGCTGCGCAACGGGGATCGACCTGCCCGGTCAGGTCGCGGCGGTCGAGGGGGCAGCACCCCCCATGGGGCTCGTTGCCCCGAAAGAGAATTTTATTTTCAAAAGCCTTTGAAAAGGTACATCTGTTCGTTTTGACAGTTATTTCCAACAGATGTGTTCTTCATTTCAAGGGACACATCTATTCAAACGGTTGCCTCAATTTCTATAAATTCTGGGCGAATTTTCGTTTGCAAAACACATTAAAAAATATATATATATATTCTTCTCTCTTTCTCTTGGCATCATCAGTTCTTTTTCGAGTGTCTTCTTAGTTTGATCAAATAGTCACAATTTGAATCAAACGTCTCTATTATATCCTGAGAGAGATTTTCTATCATACTCCAGTCGTGACTTCGTTGGATAGGAGAAAAATATATCTTAAAAGATAACGTTTTTTTTCGTGTCTTGGAGTTCATTTAGTTTTCAGATTTTCCTACATTTTTCTCAATAGGATCTAGTTGTAGACTTAGCATAAACTGAATGGCAAAGAAGGCTGCGTGTAGTTGAAGTTCCCCTCAAATTTATTGAGAATAAAGGTTTAATTTATTACCGTCAAACTGAGAATGAACTTCTACTTGCATTTGCTTATCTTGTGCATGTAAAGGTAGTATGTACATTGAACATCCTCCCTAGGCCATATGAGATAGCATTATGCCACACATGCAAGTGCACATTAAACGATGTGTAGCATTTTTCTCAATAAAATATAGTCATATTTTATAGATTGGACGCTAGGTCATATTTGGTTCAACTAAAAAGTAAGATTAAAATCTAAGAGTTAATAATTAATTTTAATTGAATCCACAACTTTCAATAGTATATTTCATTAAAATTTACTAAAATCTAACTTTTATCTAAATAAAACACGGGATGTGTCTAATATTGTCAAAACTTGAGGGATTCATATTCAACACAAAATTGTTTTAAGATTTTATTTGGATCCTAATCAAATTCAGTTAATAAGAGAAGTATCATGGTATTTCTATGTTTTGGGATTTTTTGTCTTTGATCTTTCACTTCACAAAGTGAAAGTGAGAATAGAGTCATTAGACCGATGTGCATGGACTATCTAACGAGGGTAATACCACAATTTTTGTTAACTACATCACATTTTACTTATTCATCCAAACTTTTTATTTTTATTTTTACACTTACGTTCCCAACTTTTTTTTTTCATTTTTTATTTTTTCATCAACCCTCTATTAATTTTCACATTATATCTATAGAGATGATTTTCATCCAAAATATTTGTTATGAAGGCCAAAAAGGCATTTATCTTTCGTATTTTTAAATAACCAAAATAAATAACTAATACAAAATTAAAACAAAATATTTGCCCATCCTTTCAATGCACGTTGGCAAAATATTTGGACAAAAATCATGATTACAAACAAAATATGTTAATTAATTGAATATTAAGAATAACAGTGGCAAAGAAAAAAATTGAAGACATAAAAGCAAAAGTGAGCAAGTATTGGAAACCATTTTTATAATTAAAATGTGTAGTAAATATAAAAAATTGGCGTAAATATAATTACCCTTCTAATAATAATTAAAATGACCCTTTTTTTTTAATAATAAGTTAACATTAACATGTCTAGCTGCAAAATACACACGCTAGTGCATGGTTATGGGTCCATTTGAAGTGACTTTTGCTTCAGATAAAAGAAACTTTAGAGGAAGTCATAATTTTTAAAAGAATTTCATATTCCGTAAGTGTTTTTAGATGAAACTACATTGAACCAATTGCTTCTAAAAACTTTTCTAATTAAAGGCAGCACATTCATAAAATTAATCAAATGAATCCAAAAAATAACTTTTGAGCCTCAAATATTCCTTTTCGACTTTTCAAAAATTATACCCAACGAGTCCTAGGTATCGAATCGGAATAAATTAAAATTCCAAGTGGATGCTCGTGCGTCAATCTCAAGAATCACTCATTCTATTTTACATATTGACCGTTTTGAACTAAAAGAAAGTTTTCTAATGAAATATTTACATTATGTAGCTCTCAATAGTTATATACAGTAAAAGCCTACAGAAAATAGAAATGTCACATTTATGCCTATAAAGGCGAGATGCCCCACGTATTGGATGATTGTAATTTTTAGACATTATTTTCGTGCTCCGTAATCCTTTCAAAATGGGCACATCTACTTCTGCATGAGAGGAAACTAAACCCGTTTCATCACAAGAATTCATCACACAAGTTACGACTGACTACAGTCTATATTCCTGGATTTAAACAAGGCCAAGTTCATGAAAGAACAAAAATTCTACGATAGAAATGTCGATCGCAGCATCAATCTTCAAAAGAGAAGATGGCAGTACAGTACACCATATGCAGCAGAAGTTTTAATAATTTAAAATTCAACTAATTCTCCAATCGTCCGTGGTCAGAATGCGTACCAAACATGCATCTAATGTTTAAACAAAATGATTGGTATTGCCCATTTTTTAACCCGTTCCCTACAAATTCATTTTTCTCTGTCGCAATGAAATATTTCACATAAACCCAAAACATTTTCCTAATTTTTCACCACACGGGAAAAAAAAAAAAAATCACTATTACAAAATCTATTCTTTCAAAAATTGGGGCTCAGAGCCATAGATTTATAACGGGATAAACGAGATGCAAGATTCCGCTTCCGCTTCGCAATATAATGCCTTAAGGCCTGAAGAACTTCCACCTACTCTGTAAAATGGTTCTTGTTGCTAATTCCCCTCATTAACTCAGCTATGATACATTACCCCGCGACAGATTTTATATTGTACATCATTAATTAGAAATTGTTCGTCTATTCTTGCAAATTATACATCACTAAATTATGCTGAAGAAAAAATCAATGGACGAAGAGGAAAAATGTTGCAACAAATAATAAGCTTGAATGAAGTAAATATTGTGGAAGCCTATCAAGAACATCAAAATTGATAGAGATCATCAAGGACCAATTTCAAGATCTCTTGACAACAGCAACAGCAAGGTAAGGATGGTGGGTGAATTCGAAAGAAACTTTAAGTGATGGGTCGAGAGTCCCTAACCGGCAAATGAGGTTTAGGGCAATACCATTGTGCTCTGCAACCTGCTCTATCCGACGAAGCTCAGCTATTCTGTCGGGATCATTAGCAAAACTATCCCGTAGCTCCTTTGCAATCCTCTGGGCATCCTTGAAGCAGTTATACACAGATATCGTCTGCACATAGTGCAGCTGGTGAATAACCGCGTGTGAAAAAAAAAATGAAAAGAAAAAAAAGAGAGATGACCCATCTGTTGATGTAACAAGTACTCACAGAGAAACGAGCATGAATTGTGGTTTCCCTGAATGAAAAGTAAGAGACATTGTCGGGAAGGCAAGCCTTCTGTAAGAGCTCGAAGTGCTGGATAAATCTCTGAGAAAATTGTGAATCTCGTAAAAATGGCATCATACACGCTTTCACCACTCGACATAAATAGCAAAAAACATAACACGAGAAACTACAAAATTTTATCATTGCTCAAAAGCCTGCTGGCAAAAAAATAAAATAAATAAATAAATAATAAAAATAAAAATATGACGAGATATTTACTAACTGTGCAGATAAATTTATATCAATAATAAAAATGCGGTTCCCAAATTCATCGGCTATTCATAAGCAAGCCCCTTTTTTCTCCATTCCAAGTGACAGAAGTTTGAATACAAACCCCACTGAAGACAGGACAGAGAGAAATACCTCATGCTCACTGTTGAAAGGACCCAAACTTAGAAAGACCTTGTGTTCATTTCGTAAGGCTGCAAGCATCTGAAAATTTTGGAACATTAGATGTTAGTATTAGACATAAATGATTATTTTAAATTTATGATCTGTCCACCAGACGTGCTGTTTTCAGTAATGTCAAAACCACAGCATAAAGCAGAGCAGAACCTTATTTCTCAAACCCAACCAAACATTCATTATTAAATGATCATTACCAGCATAAGACCTTCAGCAACATAGATGTAACACTGGAACAATAAGACTGCAGGAGGAATCTGATGGTCCTTCCCCATGTCCCTCACAAAATCTCTCTTCTTCTTTGTTTTCCGTCGACCTGGTCAGGGAGCATAAGTGTTGGGAGATTTCAAAAGCAACATCCAGCATCTTCCATTGGAGAATTACAGAAAAGCTTAACATCATGTCTTTCTTTACCCCATAGAGCAATTTTCATGCAGGCTATAAATGCAGGAACATTTAGCAATTTTCATGCAGGCTATAAATGCAGGAACATTTTGTCCTGTTCGGCCCCAATTTTTAAAACACATTTTTCCGCAAACTCATTTTCAACCATATATTTTATGCGATCTATAACTTTTATCAACTTTTTAACCACATATTCTATCACCTTTTATCAAAATCTCCTAGATATGATTTTTAGCCAAACCATATAAGGGCTTAGTGCGACAGGGATCTTTCATCCAAACTTGAACCGAGCAAATTAGTAATGAACTGCCTCCAAGCAATAACTATGTTAACTCATTAATCAGGCTAAAGTAGTAAATTTATTATATGATAAAGCAGTCACAATGGTTCCGCTCTCATTAATCTTGAGATAGCCCATCACAATTTTCTGAAGAAGCAGATACTGAAAAGGATTATCCCATGAAAATGGTTCAGTGTGCGGGATCCATGGAGAAGCTTAAGTTAATTCCAAACAAGGAAACATGGTTAAATTGATTTCTTGTGTCCAAATTTCAGGTCATGCTGGGAAAATCTACTAGTTCAATCGTTCAGATGAATGCACCGCATCACATTTTCTGTTTCTAGATTGATATTTAATTCCCATTTAGAGTTACTAATATATTGAAGCCAAGAACCATATATGTTCTATCATAAACATTTTGGAGCTTAATCTCTTCTTAATTTTTATCAATCCAAAAGACTTAGCCCAGGGTTTGGCCCCCATATTCTAAAACTCATTCTCTCTCAAATTCATTTTCAACTACGAGTATGTTTGAGCCACATTATTTTGGTAATAATGCATCCTCGAATAGTGTATTGATGAGAAATGTGTAGTTAAAAAATAAGGAAATTTTTTTTATTTGCGTGTAATATTATTTTATTGAAAAATGTGTGGTTGAAATGATGTCAAATCACTGTTTAAGAATGTATTTTTTTGTAATAATGTGGCTCAAACAGGTTATATGTTTAATGATACACAAAAATTTTATGAACTTTTCAACCACACATTTCACCAACATTTATTAAAATCTACTAAAAATCTAATCTTTATCAAAACCAAACAAGGGATTAATCTCCATGACCCATCCTGGTAATAGCTTGCTTTAAAAAATAAAACACGTATAACTTTTCTTAAACAAAAAGTAGGGAACAATCCAAAACCTAAAAAGCGACCAATATATGTTCATAAACCTTCTTTTATGGAATCAAACATTTTTCTATTCTAACATTTTGAAACTAAGCTAAAAAGCACGGACACGGCCATGTCACGACATGAACATGTCGACCCATGATTTTTTCCAAAAAGATAGGACGTGGACATGTCAACTTAAATTATTGAAAAACTTCAAATAAATGTATAATATAATTATTTTTATACTTCTTAATTCTTAAAATAAAATCAAAACTTTCTACTTTAAGTAAGAGGATTGGCAAATTTGTTAAATTTTAATATAATTATAAGTTAAAATATCTAGTGCATGAAAGAAAAATACATACAATAAACATAAAAAATTGATATGAAGTTTATTGGCTTTTTGATGTGCATGATCCTCACATGTTAAAACTATAAAAATATGAACAATATAGAACACACCACATGGTCTGACGAGTGAAATTTTATTCAAATGCAGGAAGCGTGTCTGAAAGTGTTCCTTAAGTGCTCAATTGTTTTAACAATTATATGAAAGAAAGACACAGTTGTCGGGTAAATGGGAGAGTCCATTATGTGTCAATGTCCAATACATGACAGACACGGACATGCCTACTATGAGTATTCATACTAAATAGAAACTAGGTTTGCCTACAAATCCAAAAAGTGTTATTCAATACTGTCTCATTGTTTTTGCCAAGAGAGTATATGATTTACGTTAATCATCTCATCTAACATCTTAAACGTACAATAGACTGCACATTTATCCACTTAAGTCTTCAACACATCCCCTCATGTGCAATCTAGATTCATTCGTTTTATCAAAAATCTGCTACCTATGCTATTTCCATGAATGAGTGGCAATCAAACTTGAACTCAGAGCCTGCATTCTCATAACATGTTTATCATCTCTTCTAAAAGCTTAAGCTCTTACAGAGGAGCCACATTTATATCTTTTCTTTGGCTTTCAACAATATATTTGGAATCCATCTAAAATCACAATTATATCCAGAACAGAATTTTGAAGGTTGTAAAGAAACTCTTGATTCAGATCTTGTGAAATCAGAACATGGTCAAATTTGAAAATTCCACGTGTCACTTTTAGATGCAAGTAGCAAAACAAAGATAACTAAGACAGATACTCACTAGTTTCATTGCTCATCATCATTTTGATATGTGTTTTCTCTGCAAGTTTCATCAGGATAACATACATGTACCAATAAGCCATGCAATATTCACTAGGAGAATATAGATCCAACTCAAAGCCCAGTGTCAGGAAGCGTGAAGCTATCCAGTATGTCTTCTCTTCTACCCAAATGAGGATATGCTTGCAGATCTTTATGCATAAATTCTGCAAGAACAGACAATAAAGAACAAAAGATGACAGAGCATACAAGAGTAGACAAGTTTCATTGAAACAACGAAGAAAAGCAGAGAATGAAAGAACTGGTGTACAAAACAGGAACATCGTTACAATTTCAACCGGTAAAATGCGCAGGTTAATCTACTGATTGCACGAACAAAATTCAAATCTCACGGTATTATTTAACAGTTGCATGTAAAACCACTGAATAGCAGACTAGCTTAAGACTGACTTGTAATCAAAAAATGTGGTTTTCCCACGGTACACACTGAGAGGGGGAACAAATAACAATCAAACTATCCCTTGGAAATCCAAGGCTTGGGCCCCCTCCATTTGGATTTTCCCTCTTGTGCAAATTAAGTCATGAAACTTCACAGGTGAGCTGAAAGTAACAGTTCATATTATATAGATGAGATACTCATTGGCAAACAAGTAACAATATACCTCATCAACTGAGGAGCGTAAAATATCCCCATACTCCTTTTTGAAAGCCAATTCTAGCTGTTTCACATAAATTAAAGCATTAAAACATTCGAACAGATTGCGGAAAGGTATATAAAGCAACGAACTTACTACAAAGTATAACCTGAAAATAAAACACCATTCAAACTTGTACTTTT